CATATATGTTGTTATATGGACACAGGTGAGGTGTACTATGGGCACACATATATGATGTTATATGGACACAGGTGAGGTGTACTGTGTGCACACATATATGATGTTATATGGACACAGGTGAGGTGTACTATGGGCACACATAATATGATGTTATATGGACACAGGTGAGGTGTACTGTGTGCACACATATATGATGTTATATGGACACAGGTGAGGTGTACTATGGGCACACATGAAGTGTACTGTGTGCACACATATATGATGTTATATGGACACAGGTGAGGTGTACTATGGGCACACATATATGCTGTTATATGGACACAGGTGAGGTGTACTATGGGCACACATATATGTTGTTATATGGACACAGGTGAGGTGTACTGTGGGCACACATATATGATGTTATATGACAAAGGTGAGGTTTACTATGGGCACACATATATGATGTTATATGGACACAGGTGAGGTGTACTGTGGCCACCCATATATGTTGTTATATGGACACAGGTGAGGTGTACTATGGGCACACATATATGTTGTTATATGGACACAGGTGAGGTGTACTATGGGCACACATATATGTTGTTATATGGACACAGGTGAGGTGTACTGTGCGCACATAATATGATGCATTTTTTATGATAATCTGCTGTTTGCACAAATGTTAACCAACAATAATAAAATAGTACACTGACATACAATCAGACATTGTAAATTGGGCAAGTATTCAGTCATGTGTAACACACACTCAGTTATGACATCCATCCATCCATCCATCCATCCATCCATCCATCCATCCATACATACATACATACATACATACATACATACATACATACATACATACATACATACATACATACATACATATATACATACATACAGAACATGCTAACAGTCATAAGTAATAAACTGCAAATGACAAAATACTGACACCCATCTTTAAATGACAAGTGATTGACATCCATGTTCCAATGACAACATATTTACATCCATGCAAGAAATTGGGATTTACACTCATGTAAGAAAACAGCAGACTAGATAACTCGCTCACTTCTGACCACAAAGTGAAATTACAATGTTCATATTCACATGACATAAACCATGTTTTGACTTCATGGTCACAAATTAAAGTGCAGGTTCACATGACTGCTCCTCCACAATCAAAGGCAGTAATCATTTGATTTCAGCAATAGTGAAATATTCCAATGACTAACTGTCATACCAAAGTTATTGTCGCACCTGATGATCCTAACAACTTCTGTGTCTATATTTATCTGAACATGTGTCTGTTGGAGGTCAGTGTGTTGAGCCTGTTTACAGTAGAGTTGTGATGTTTGAGCAAACAAATTCAGCTTCTTACCAGGATCTGCTATCTGGGCTAGCTGTCCCTGGTAATTTCACAGGACACTGCACTGCCTGAGGCACATCTGTTCTTTCTGCAGTTGGTACACCCCACGTACCCATTGAGTACATCTGTTCTTTCTGCAGTTGATACACCCCCAAGTACCCATTGAGCACATCTGTTCTTTCTGCAGTTGGTACACCCCAAGTACCCATTGAGCACATCTGTTCTTTCTGCAGTTGATACACCCCAAGTACCCATTGAGTACATCTGTTCTTTCTGCAGTTGATACACCCCAAGTACCCATTGAGTACATCTGTTCTTTCTGCAGTTGGTACACCCCAAGTACCCATTGAGTACATCTGTTCTTTCTGCAGTTGGTACACCCCAAGTACCCATTGAGCACACCGTCATGTGTGCCACTCAATCCTCAAGGAAGGACAAGGGGAGATCACTTGGACATAACTAGCCATGAAAGGAGGTATTCGTTGATATAGGACCAACACAGGATGCAAGAAACAAGGACATGTGACAGACATGTGACTGCTGAGAGAGTTGACTGTCTGATCTCAGACAGACATATAGTTACCTACTCCATGCCAGATAGAAGAGAAGTGACAACATGTGACTGCTGGGAGAGTTGACTGTCTGATCTCAGACAGACACATAGTTACCTACTCCATGCCATATAGAAGAGAAGTGACAACATGTGACAGTCACGTGACTGCTGGGAGAGTTGACTATCTGATCTCAGACAGACATATAGTTACCTACTCCATGCCAGATAAAAGAGAAGTGACAACATGTGACAGTCACATGACTGCTGAGAGAGTTGACTATCTGATCTCAGACAGACACATAGTTACTTACTCCATGCCAGATAAAAGAGAAGTGACAACATGTGACAGTCACATGACTGCTGAGAGAGTTGACTATCTGATCTCAGACAGACACATAGTTACTTACTCCATGCCAGATAAAAGAGAAGTGACAACATGTGACAGTCACATGACTGCTGGGAGAGTTGACTATCTGATCTCAGACAGACACATAGTTACTTACTCCATGCCAGATAGAAGAGAAGGGACAACATGTGAACTTCACTTGATTGCTGAGAGAGTTGACTATCTGATCTCAGACACATAGTTGCCTACTCCATGCCAGATAGAAGAGAAGTGACAACATGTGACAGTCACATGACTGCTGAGAGAGTTGACTATCTGATCTCAGACAGACACATAGTTACTTACTCTATGCCAGATAGAAGAGAAGTGACAACCTGTGAACTTCACTTGATTGCAACTGTCCCTTCTGAAACAATCATTCCTCATGTGATACAAGGTGTACAGCTAAACCTCACATACATTTACAATATGCATTTTGTTCAGTGTGCTAAGATGCTTACAATTTAGCAAGCAAAAAGAAAAACAAAATCAGAAAAATCTGTAGCTGTGTGTTTATGGCCTGGACACAATACAAGGTTTCATGAACAGCACAACTGGTTGATCCGTGTTATATAGTGGCTAAATGTTTGACTGCTGTCCCAAAGGTTATAATAGGTTAATATTTACAAAAGTATTGATTTTTGTTATAACTGACTTTAACTGCCAGGTCAACTTAGGCTAAAACAGCTACCAGGAATTTTCCTAGGAAGTAAAGGCAGGCAGCATAATGTTGACCATATCATCCATGGGAGGCCTCTTTAAAAATATAAGTTCAGCATCAAATGCCCAATTGATTAGGGCTATAAAAAGGTATGTGTGACTTGTCAGGGCTGAGAAGTGCCATGGTGGCCATGGCTGCGGGTGAGTCACCTCTAGAGAACAGCCTGGAGAAGGTGCCATGGCTGCGGGCGGGTAAGTCACCTCTAAAGAACAGCTTGGAGAAGGTGCCATGGCTGCTGGTGAGTCACCTCTAGAGAACAGCCTGGAGAAGGTGCCATGGCTGCGGGCGGGTAAGTCACCTCTAGAGAACAGCCTGGAGAAGGTGCCATGGCTGCGGGCGGGTAAGTCACCTCTAAAGAACAGCTTGGAGAAGGTGCCATGGCTGCTGGTGAGTCACCTCAAGAGAACAGCTTGGAGAAGGTGCCATGGCTGCGGGCGGGTAAGTCACCTCTAAAGAACAGCCTGGAGAAGGTGCCATGGCTGCTGGTGAGTCACCTCAAGAGAACAGCCTGGAGAAGGTGCCATGGCTGTTGGCAAGTCACCTCTAGAGAACAGCCTGGAGAAGGTGCCATGGCTGCGGGCGGGTAAGTCACCTCTAAAGAACAGCCTGGAGAAGGTGCCATGGCTGCTGGTGAGTCACCTCAAGAGAACAGCTTGGAGAAGGTGCCATGGCTGCGGGCGGGTAAGTCACCTCTAAAGAACAGCTTGGAGAAGGTGCCATGGCTGCTGGCGAGTCACCTCTAAAGAACAGCTTGGAGAAGGTGCCATGGCTGCTGGTGAGTCACCTCTAGAGAACAGCCTGGAGAAGGTGCCATGGCTGTTGGTGAGTCACCTCTAGAGAACAGCTTGGAGAAGGTGCCATGGCTGCTGGTGAGTCACCTCAAGAGAACAGCCAGGAGAAAGTGCCATGGCTGCTGGTGAGTCACCTCTAGAGAACAGCCTGGAGAAGGTGCCATGGCTGCTGGTGAGTCACCTAAAGAGAACAGCTTGGAGAAGGTGCCATGGCTGCTGATGAGTCACCTCAAGAGAACAGCCAGGAGAAAGTGCCATGGCTGCTGGTGAGTCACCTCTAGAGAACAGCCTGGAGAAGGTGCCATGGCTGCTGGCAAGTCACCTCTAGAGAACAGCCAGGAGAAAGTGCCATGGCTGCTGGCGAGTCACCTCTAGAGAACAGCCAGGAGAAAGTGCCATGGCTGCTGGCGAGTCACCTCTAGAGAACAGCCTGGAGAAGGTGCCATGGCTGCTGGTGAGTCACCTCAAGAGAACAGCTTGGAGAAGGTGCCATGGCTGTTGGCGAGTCACCTCTAGAGAACAGCCAGGAGAAAGTGCCATGGCTGTTGGCGAGTCACCTCTAGAGAACAGCAAGGTGCCATAAGGGTGAGAGTGTACTGCCATGGCATGCGTGTTAGATGTCCAGCCAGGTGCATGCTCATGTGTGCAATACGTGTCCGCCTGACTTCTATTTCATACAGTAAGACCAACATTCTATTTACCACCTGTCCAAGTGCTGCCTCATACATCTCCAGCAATATGTGTGAACACAACCTGATAAAGCCAAACTGCATCTCCAGCAGTCTGTTGTGAATGCAACCTCATGGCATATATACTGCTGCCTCATTGTACCTCTATTAATGTGTGAGAGTCTGCTGCATATATACTGATGTGATGTCAGATCCAAGTTTCATAGAATGCTTCCTTCGTCATACATCTAATATCCAAACTGAACAAGACTGCTTCAAATCACGGACAACTGGAGGCAGGGGCAAGCCAGTCAGAATAAGACAAGAAACTCACAAACAATGTGTATATTTGTCCAAATCATTGCTTACATGTCACAATCACTATGTACATGTGTCTAAATCACTGTGTACGTATCCCAATCATTTGTGTACGTGTGTCCCAATTATTGTGTACATGTATGAGGGTGGACCCTCTTACAGGTATCATGAAGCAAATGTGCGGCAGTCAAACAGTGGCAAACATCGGACAACTCAGGGCAGCAACAAAGTCTTAGTCTCACTCCAGACTAGTGGCAGAATCACCTGGCAGGCAGACAGGAGGATCATACAGGAGCGATACACTGAGCGAGGCAGAGCCCAGAATGGTTCCGAGCGAAACACAAAATATACAGCATACAATGCTACAGCAAAGAAGTGTCCAATCAGCACATGTGGTTTTGGGTTTAATCTGCACAAAAGAGAATCAATCAATCCTGGTTAATGGTAACACAAGGCAATATCAATTGTTTCACTTTTCTACAAATGCGACACCTAAACTGCACACTTTCTCAATCTGAACACAACAACTGTCCCCTTTCTCAATCTGAACACAACAACTGTCCCCTTTCTCAATCTGAACACTACAACTGTCCCCTTTCTCAATCTGAACACAACTGCCCCCTTTCTCAATCTGAACACAACAACTGCCCCCTTTCTCAATCTGAACACAACAACTGTCCTCTTTCTCAATCTGAACACAACAACTGCCCCCTTTCTCAATCTGAACACAACAACTGCCCCTTTTCTCAATCTGAACACAACAACTGTCCTCTTTCTCAGTCTGAACACAACAACTGTCCTCTTTCTCAATCTGAACACAACAACTGCCCCTTTTCTCAATCTGAACACAACAACTGCCCCCTTTCTCAATCTGAACACAACAACTGCCCCCTTTCTCAATCTGAACACAACAACTGTCCCCTTTCTCAGTCTGAACACAACAACTGTCCTCTTTCTCAGTCTGAACACAACAACTGTCCTCTTTCTCAATCTGAACACAACAACTGCCCCCTTTCTCAATCTGAACACAACAACTGCCCCCTTTCTCAGTCTGAACACAACAACTGCCCCCTTTCTCAATCTGAACACAACAACTGCCCCCTTTCTCAATCTGAACACAACAACTGCCCCCTTTCTCAGTCTGAACACAACAACTGCCCCCTTTCTCAGTCTGAACACAACAACTGCCCACCTTTAGAATCTCATCACTACAAGCTGACCATCTTTCTCAAGGTCAATGCTACAAATAACCATCTTTCCCAATCTCTACAATGAAAATCGCCAACTTTCTCAAACTTTATGCTACAACCAACAGCCTGCAAACCTATAATTATGACCTCTGCACCACTACTGGTGTTTACTGGCAGGGTTCTCAGGAACTGACCCCACCGTTACCACACTGTGTACAAACAACCCCACCGTTACCAAACTGTGTACAAACAACCCCACCGTTACCACACTGTGTACAAACAACCCCACCGTTACCACACTGTGTACAAACAACCCCACCATTACCACACTGTGTACAATCAACCCCACCGTTACCACACTGTGTACAAACAACCCCACCGTTACCACACTGTGTACAAACAACCCCACCGTTACCAAACTGTGTACAAACAACCCCACCGTTACCACACTGTGTACAAACAGGTATTTGTATTTTACCTCTAAGTCTCATAATAGCATACTGTTAACATAACATACTTTATTGATAAAATACAACTGCTGTGTGAAAGGTGTGTGTTTGCAAGGGCCAAATGTGAGACGGGCCTGCGTGCCCAATTTGTACCTCTTTGAAAATAAAGTTTGTTTGTTTGTTTGTTCAGTCTCACCAGGCTAAAACAAAAAACACAGATGGCAAGCTGGCATGAACACCCTCATCTGCCTCTGGTCTATCTGTGGATTGTTCATCCGCATGTGGCTGTAAACTAACACTAAACCCCCTCACTGACAAATACTGACTGACTTGTGGCTGTGTTGTTCATTTCATAAACATAGTACTTGTAACTTTATATAACTCAGCCTTTCTCATTTGGTGGTCTGCAAACACCCAGGGGGCCGCATAAATTCAATAGTGCCCTAATATCATTCACAAGTTTTAAAAAAACTCAATTTTAGACCGCAATCTGTAAGTTCTAAATTAAATAAATTAAAATGATTATTAAACAGAATGGAGTTCATGGCAGAGCTTTAAAACTCTGTGGGTCTGTAGGCTCCAGCTACTGGAAGCCAGGAGTGCAACAAACAACAAACTGTGTCAGTGCATGTACCTGCATGTCGGTGACAAGAATGCACAGTTGTACTTACATAGACAGTAGACTGACTGGTCCATCTATACACTGTCCTCCCAGCTGGAAATATTCGAAGCAAGCTTTCTTCATACAGACTAGATGTTCTGTAGGAAACACAACAAGGACTGTATACTTCATAAATCTCAGGTTTCTATGCTATTTACTTTATATACAGATGCATGTTAAAATTGGGTCTATATAGCATGCAAATATTCTTGTCTCTTACCTTCAATGACATGGGTATATTGCATACAATCTACAACATCAAGCCTAATAATGGAGATGGAGGCGGTCAATGCAGCTTTCCGGTGGTGGCTAGAGAACAAGATGGCTACACATATCGTAATTGTAACAGACTCTGAAAGCGTGCTGAGAAAGGTGAAGACAGGGATGCTTCGAGCAGAGTGGCAAGCTTCATGGGAAGGTCAAAGGTAGTGAGCATGCTCTGGATTTTTTCTACAGGCTGGTGTGGTGGGGAATGAACAGGCAGACAGAATGGCTGGATCTGCACCACTGGGTGGTGAATTGATACAGGATAAGGCACAAGTGGTCAATTAACAAGTAACGAAGTCAGAAGAAAAACAAGATTATTATGGCCTGGAGAGAATGAGGCACCTGGGTGTAACCAGAGGGTCTGGTCGGTTCACTACACTCAGAGGAAAGGCAAGACAGACACATAACCAGATTATAACTGGTACCATTAGTACTGGAACTCTGCGCTGGCTGCTGAAGATGAGGACGGAGCTCGCATGGGGATGCCCCGAGTGCTGTGATGTCAATTCTTGACCCAACTCAACTCGACTGCATATAATGTTTTTCATTTTATAATAGGCAGTTTTGGCCTGTCCTATTTTGTTCTCTATCGCTGTGATACATCTTCCATCGGATGTTATCCATGTACCTAGATACTGATCTTTATATCCTAAAATAATGCCTTTGACTTTTTTAAAAAATTATATATTTAGGTACTATTCTTTTCTTGGTATTCACCATTACTTCTGTCTTTCTGTTATTCAAACTGAGGCCCATTTGATCACTTTCTACCACCATCGTGCTTATCAATGTGTGCAGTTCTTTCTGACTTGCTGCTATCATGACGGTGTCATCAGCAATAACAATGCAGCTTGTTTATGTTATGACCACCAACCACAATTCCTGGCATATTGATGATAGATCTCATTATAAATTCACTGTGTAATGAAAACAAATCAGGTGTTAGTACACATCCTTGTCGTACACTCTTTTTTTATGCTCTGAAATGTTCCCAAATGGTTATTAATAATAGCTGCTTTTTGCTGCCAATTCTTGTTCTTTATAATTGGTAAATCTTTGCCATCAATGTTTAATTCTCTATTACTTTGATTATTTCTTCATGTTTCACCAAATCAAATGCATTCATAGTCAATGAAGATAAGTAAAGATTGTTTTTTACTTCTTTCCGAAAGAGTCTTGAGGATGTATAAGGGAAATTGCTTGTACTTTCTCCACTATTCTAGGGGTTTTATGTGTTGGGTTGCTGTCAAGTCAGCTTTATGATGTCATCATTATCAGTGTGTATTTTGTTTCCTGTCAGCATTTTCAGTGTGTGAGTTTGTTTTACCTTGACCTGTTTAGAAACTGCTTCGCTCTTACTTCATGACTTTGCCATGAATTTTCTTGACCTGTGAGCATTGGTGCATGACAAGGAAAGCAGCGTGCAGTGTTGCTTTTCTGTAGCAGCAGGGCATCTTGCACTCATTCATCCACACGCTGCTACAAGAATCATCTCATCTTGCTGTCGCTGACTGACAGTCAGGATAATTGGAGACTCCGGCATTCCAACTGTCGTCTAGAGGACATCAGGGTCAGGCAAGGCACACGCAGGGCTGCAAAGCTCTCGTCTGTCTGCCTTACTCATGCAGTCCTGCAAAGCTCTAGTCTGTCTGCCTTACACATGCAGTCCTGCAAAGCTCTAGTCTGTCTGCCTTACACATGCAGTCCTGCAAAGCTCTCATCTGTCTGCCTTACACATGCAGTCCTACAAAGCTCTCATCTGTCTGCCTTACACATGCAGGGCTGCAAAGCTCTTGTCTGTCTGCCTTACACATGCAGTCCTGCAAAGCTCTAGTCTGTCTGCCTTACACATGCAGTCCTGCAAAGCTCTCATCTGTCTGCCTTACACATGCAGTCCTGCAAAGCTCTAGTCTGTCTGCCTTACACATGCAGTCCTGCAAAGCTCTCATCTGTCTGCCTTACACATGCAGTCCTGCAAAGCTCTAGTTTGTCTGCCTTACACATGCAGTCCTGCAAAGCTCTCGTCTGTCTGCCTTACACATGCAGTCCTGCAACGCTCTCATCTGTCTGCCTTACACATGCAGTCCTGCAAAGCTCTCGTCTGTCTGCCTTACACATGCAGTCCTGCAAAGCTCTGGTCTGTCTGCCTTACACATGCAGTCCTGCAAAGCTCTGGTCTGTCTGCCTTACACATGCAGTCCTGCAAAGCTCTGGTCTGTCTGCCTTACACATGCAGTCCTGCAAAGCTCTGGTTTGTCTGCCTTACACATGCAGTTCTCCAAAGCTCTCATCTGTCTGCCTTACACATGCAGTCCTGCAAAGCTCTGGTCTGTCTGCCTTACACATGCAGTCCTGCAAAGCTCTCATCTGTCTGCCTTACACATGCAGTCCTACAAAGCTCTCATCTGTCTGCCTTACACATGCAGGGCTGCAAAGCTCTTGTCTGTCTGCCTTACACATGCAGTCCTGCAAAGCTCTAGTCTGTCTGCCTTACACATGCAGTCCTGCAAAGCTCTCATCTGTCTGCCTTACACATGCAGTCCTGCAAAGCTCTAGTCTGTCTGCCTTACACATGCAGTCCTGCAAAGCTCTCATCTGTCTGCCTTACACATGCAGTCCTGCAAAGCTCTAGTTTGTCTGCCTTACACATGCAGTCCTGCAAAGCTCTCGTCTGTCTGCCTTACACATGCAGTCCTGCAACGCTCTCATCTGTCTGCCTTACACATGCAGTCCTGCAAAGCTCTCGTCTGTCTGCCTTACACATGCAGTCCTGCAAAGCTCTGGTCTGTCTGCCTTACACATGCAGTCCTGCAAAGCTCTGGTCTGTCTGCCTTACACATGCAGTCCTGCAAAGCTCTGGTCTGTCTGCCTTACACATGCAGTCCTGCAAAGCTCTGGTTTGTCTGCCTTACACATGCAGTTCTCCAAAGCTCTCATCTGTCTGCCTTACACATGCAGTCCTGCAAAGCTCTGGTCTGTCTGCCTTACACATGCAGTCCTGCAAAGCTCTGGTCTGTCTGCCTTACACATGCAGTCCTGCAAAGCTCTGGTCTGTCTGCCTTACACATGCAGTCCTGCAAAGCTCTCATCTGTCTGCCTTACACATGCAGTCCTGCAAAGCTCTCATCTGTCTGCCTTACACATGCAGTCCTGCAAAGCTCTGGTTTGTCTGCCTTACACATGCAGTTCTGCAAAGCTCTCATCTGTCTGCCTTACACATGCAGTCCTGCAAAGCTCTGGTCTGTCTGCCTTACACATGCAGTCCTGCAAAGCTCTGGTCTGTCTGCCTTACACATGCAGTCCTTCAAAGCTCTGGTCTGTCTGCCTTACACATGCAGTCCTGCAAAGCTCTCGTCTGTCTGCCTTACACATGCAGTCCTGCAAAGCTCTCGTCTGTCTGCCTTACACATGCAGTCCTGCAAAGCTCTAGTCTGTCTGCCTTACACATGCAGTCCTGCAAAGCTCTCATCTGTCTGCCTTACACATGCAGTCCTGCAATGCTCTCATCTGTCTGCCTTACACATGCAGTCCTGCAAAGCTCTGGTCTGTCTGCCTTACACATGCAGTCCTGCAAAGCTCTGGTCTGTCTGCCTTACACATGCAATCCTGCAAAGCTCTGGTCTGTCTGCCTTACACATGCAGTCCTGCAAAGCTCTCATCTGTCTGCCTTACACATGCAGTCCTGCAAAGCTCTCATCTGTCTGCCTTACACATGCAGTCCTGCAAAGCTCTAGTCTGTCTGCCTTACACATGCAGTCCTGCAAAGCTCTGGTCTGTCTGCCTTACACATGCAGTCCTGCAAAGCTCTGGTCTGTCTGCCTTACACATGCAGTCCTGCAAAGCTCTCATCTGTCTGCCTTACACATGCAGTCCTGCAAAGCTCTCATCTGTCTGCCTTACACATGCAGTCCTGCAAAGCTCTGGTTTGTCTGCCTTACACATGCAGTTCTGCAAAGCTCTCATCTGTCTGCCTTACACATGCAGTCCTGCAAAGCTCTCATCTGTCTGCCTTACACATGCAGTCCTGCAAAGCTCTGGTTTGTCTGCCTTACACATGCAGTTCTGCAAAGCTCTCATCTGTCTGGCTTACACATGCAGTCCTGCAAAGCTCTGGTCTGTCTGCCTTACACATGCAGTCCTGCAAAGCTCTGGTCTGTCTGCCTTACACATGCAGTCCTACAAAGCTCTGGTCTGTCTGCCTTACACATGCAGTCCTGCAAAGCTCTCGTCTGTCTGCCTTACAGATGCAGTCCTGCAAAGCTCTGGTCTGTCTGCCTTACACATGCAGTCCTGCTAAGCTCTCATCTGTCTGCCTTAAAGATGCAGTCCTGCAAAGCTCTGGTCTGTCTGCCTTACACATGCAGTCCTGCAAAGCTCTGGTCTGTCTGCCTTACACATGCAGTCCTGCAAAGCTCTCGTCTGTCTGCCTTACACATGCAGTCCTGCAAAGCTCTCGTCTGTCTGCCTTACACATGCATTTCTTCTAAGCTCTTGTCTGTCTGCCTTACACATGCAGTCCTGCAAAGCTCTTGCCTGTCTGCCTTACACATGCATTTCTGCTAAGCTCTCGTCTGTCTGCATAACCGACAGGTCATTCTTTTTGTGTACTGCAGGTCTCAAGAGATGACCAGCATTTCATTTTGCTAGTTGGAGTTGAGGATATTGGCGGCCGACAGCAACTTCTGACTGCACCAATTATCTACAACCTACTGCCAGTCAATACTGCCTGCAGTGTCTGGTACATACATGGAGACAACTGTTGGTCCACCCTTTTCCCATATCCCCAATTCTCATCCCTCTTGATGATTGCACATAGAGTTCATTCACACAACAACACAAGCACACAGAGAGAATGTTGCAGCACAAGGTTGTTTCCACAAAGACAGCTAAGTTTAAAAAAAAAAAAACTTAGCATGCACATCTGTTTTTTTATGTGCACGCATACACAGACACAAACAAGGAACGAAGCATAACACCCCTAGAATAGTGGACTGGACTTGAGATTCCAGGGTTTCCTTTGTTTGGGATCCTGAAAAATTATTGTACCTGATGTAGTTAACTTATAGCAATACTATTAGGTTAGTTGCATATCCTTTACAGAACGATGCAGAATAAAAACCATCAGCCCCTGGCTGTTGTGTGGTTTCACTAGGCAAATTTACGTCCAGTAGTTTGTCATTGCTTTCTGGACGGTCGGCTCCCTGATACCACTGTCGAAACCAACGCAAGGCGTATGGCCCGCAGCTGGAATCGAACCCGGTACCCCGGCATTACGAAGCGTTTGCATTGACTTAGCCACAGAGAAGACAGTAATACTATACACTTCACAAATCTCTTTTTATTTACTTATACTGTACGCATCCTGTTTTCAAGACTTGATTTGTAATGTGCTCATATTTGGTACTGAACCACTGAAACTGCAGTTTCTTGGAAGTGTCCTTCCATAGTAGATAAATGCTGGTAGATCTGTCAGCACAGACACATGAGAAGACCTGTGATAAGCCATCTATGGGAGCTCATGATGTAGGAGACCAGTGGTAGGCCATCTATGGGATCTCATGATATATGAGACCAGTGGTAGGCCATCTATGGGAGCTCATGATGTAGGAGACCTGTGGTAGGCCATCTATGGGAGCTCATGATGTAGGAGACCTGTGGTAGGCTATCTATGGGAGCTCATGATGTAGGAGACCTGTGGTAGGCCATCTATGGGAGCTTATGATGTAGGAGACCAGTGGTAGGCCATCTATGGGAGCTCATGATGTAGGAGACCTGTGGTAAGCCATCTATGGAAGCTCATGATGTAGGAGACCAGTGGTAGGCCATCTATGGAAGCTCATGATGTAGGAGACCTGTAGTAGGCTATCTATGGGAGCTCGTGATGTAGGAGACCTGTGGTAGGCTATCTATGGGAGCTCGTGATGTAGGAGACCAGTGATAGGCCATCTATGGGAGCTCATGATGTAGGAGACCTGTGGTAGGCCATCTATGGGAGCTCGTGATGTAGGAGACCTGTGGTAGGCCATCTATGGGAGCTCCTGATGTAGGAGACCTGTGGTAGGCTATCTATGGGAGCTCCTGATGTAGGAGACCGGTGGTAGGCCATCTATGGGATCTCATGATGTAGGAGACCTGTGGTAGGCTATCTATGGAAGCTCATGATGTAGGAGACCAGTGGTAGGCCATCTATGGGAGCTCATGATGTAGGAGACCTGTGGTAGGCTATCTATGGGAGCTCATGATGTAGGAGACCAGTGGTAGGCCATCTATGGGAGCTCATGATGTAGGAGACCAGTGGTAGGCCATCTATGGGAGCTCATGATGTAGGAGACCTGTGGTAGGCTATCTATGGGAGCTCATGATGTAGGAGACCTGTGGTAGGCCATCTATGGGAGCTCATGATGTAGGAGACCAGTGGTAGGCCATCTATGGGAGCTCGTGATGTAGGAGACCAGTGGTAGGCCATCTATGGGAGCTCATGATGTAGGAGACCTGTGGTAGGCCATCTATGGGAGCTCATGATGTAGGAGACCAGTGGTAGGCCATCTATGGGAGCTCATGATGTAGGAGACCTGTGGTAGGCCATCTATGGGAGCTCATGATGTAGGAGACCTGTGGTAGGCCATCTATGGGAGCTCATGAGGCTATCTATGGGAGCTCATGATGTAGGAGACCTGTGGTAGGCTATCTATGGGAGCTCATGATGTAGGAGACCAGTGGTAGGCTATCTATGGGAGCTTATGATGTAGGAGACCAGTGGTAGGCCATCTATGGGAGCTCGTGATGTAGGAGACCTGTGGTAGGCCATCTATGGGAGCTCATGATGTAGGAGACCTGTGGTAGGCCATCTATGGGAGCTCATGATGTAGGAGACCTGTGGTAGGCCATCTATGGGAGCTCATGATGTAGGAGACCAGTGGTAGGCTATCTATGGGAGCTCATGATGTAGGAGACCTGTGGTAGGCTATCTATGGAAGCTCATGATGTAGGAGACCAGTGGTAGGCTATCTATGGGAGCTCATGATGTAGGAGACCTGTGGTAGGCTATCTATGGGAGCTCATGATGTAGGAGACCAGTGGTAGGCCATCTATGGGAGCTCATGATGTAGGAGACCTGTGGTAGGCTATCTATGGGAGCTCATGATGTTGTAGACCTGTGGCAGGCCATCTATGGGAGCTCATGATGTAGGAGACCAGTGGTAGGCTATCTATGGGATCTCGTGATGTAGGAGACAAGTGGTAGGCTATCTATGGGAGCTCATGATGTAGGAGACCTGTGGTAGGCCATCTATGGGAGCTTATGATGTAGGAGACCTGTGGTAGGCCATCTATGGGAGCTCGTGATGTAGGAGACCTGTGGTAGGCCATCTATGGGAGCTCATGATGTTGTAGACCAGTGGTAGGCTATCTATGGGAGCTCATGATGTAGGAGACCTGTGGTAGGCTATCTATGGAAGCTCATGATGTAGGAGACCTGTGGTAGGCCATCTATGGGAGCTTATGATGTAGGAGACCTGTGGTAGGCTATCTATGGGAGCTTATGATGTAGGAGACCAGTGGTAGGCCATCTATGGGAGCTCGTGATGTAGGAGACCTGTGGTAGGCCATCTATGGGAGCTCGTGATGTAGGAGACCTGTGGTAGGCCATCTATGGGAGCTCATGATGTAGGAGACCAGTGGTAGGCCATCTATGGGAGCTCGTGATGTAGGAGACCAAACCGTTGGTGTACCAAAGCTTTTGACATTATCTTGTTATTTCATTTAACTAGATAACTAAAGCAGTAACACAACAAGACCAACACAAACAGAGACTTACCGTTATTAGCTGCAAATAATTCATATAAAGCATTTGCCAGCACATTGACCACAAAGGAATGGTTGCTCTTCCTCCTGCGATGAAACACCCTCAAGGCTTTGATGATGGCTTCATAATCTGAGAGGTCAGGGATGTCTCGAAGCAACTCTCTCCATATAACTGCATCGTTGAGACAAACACTCATGCCTCCTCCAGTCAAAGGGTGCCTCATGTTGTAGGCATCCCCCAGAACCAACACGCCAGGCCTTTCCAGTGGACTGGGCGGTAGAAAACTGTTAGGCATGGTTCTCACACGCCCATTGACAACACCATCTGCAAACGGCTCCTGTATGTGCTCTGTAGAGGGACAAGGTTAGCGGCCCTGAATATGTAAAGCATTTAAACATATGGGGGATATCATGTTGGATTCATATTTGGATACATCAAACAGATGATTTAACCAGTGCTTTTCTCTCATTTTTCTTAGCATTCATGGGTTGTAACTGCGACAGAAAGTGCTGGTTAACTGTCCACTTCTGGTCTTTGGTCTTGTTCTAATAATAACTGAATTCTACATGTGCATCCAATTGAGAGATTTGGCTTCTGTGTAAGCAGACTGGCAGTTCTTCACCTGTCAAGCAGATGCACTTCAACTTCACAGAAGAAACAATTAGACGACTTTAATGATATACTTCTTAGCAGGGTAGTGATTCTATTAGCATGCCTCTCCCTTCCAAATGGGGGATCCCATAAACCACATGGCGAGGAAAATGCTTGTAGCTGTGAGAGTGAATGATTGTGTTGCCACAACTGTAAGGCTGTGAGAGTGAATGATTGTGTTGCCACAACTTTAAGGCTGTGAGAGTGAATGATTGTGTTGCCACAACTGTAAGGCTGTGAGAGTGAATGATTGTGTTGCCACAACTGTAAGGCTGTGAGAGTGAATGATTGTGCTGCCACAACTGAAAGGCTGTGAGAATGAATGATTGTGTTGCCACAACTGTAAGGCTGTGAGAGTGAATGATTGTGTTGCCACAACTGTGAGGTTGTGATGTTGTCTGGTCGTCTAAGGGACTGCTTCTTGTCTCACATTGGCTTCAGTATGATGCAGATTCTGCCTCCAGTTATAAGCATGTCATGACACAGGTTCAGACACATGAAACAGCTAACCATCCAGCCAACCTATCATCACACTAACCCACCAATCAGCCAACCTATCATCACACTAACCCACCAAACAGCCAACCTATCATCACACTAACCCACCAAACAGCCAACCTATCATCACACTAACCCACCAAACAGCCAACCTATCATCACACTAACCAACCAAACAGCCAACCTATCATCACACTAACCCACCAAACAGCCAACCTATCATCACACTAACCCACCAAACAGCCAACCTATCATCACACTAACCCACCAATCAGCCAACCTATCATCACACTAACCCACCAATCAGCCAACCTATCATCACACTAACCCACCAATCAGCCAACCAACCTATCATCACACTAACCCACCAATCAGCCAACCAACCTATCATCACACTTACCCACCAATCAGCCAACCTATCATCACACTAACCCACCAATCAGCCAACCTATCATCACACTAACCCACCAATCAGCCAACCTATCATCACACTAACCCACCAATCAGCCAACCTATTATCACACTAACCCACCAATCAGCCAACCTATCATCACACTAACCCACCAATCAGCCAACCTATCATCACACTAACCCACCAATCAGCCAACCTATCATCACACTAACCCACCAACCTATCATCACACTAACCCACCATCCAGCCAACCTATCATCACACTAACCCACCAATCAGCCAACCTATCATCACACTAACCCACCAATCAGCCAACCTATCATCACACTAACCCACCAATCAGCCAACCTATCATCACACTAACCCACCAATCAGCCAACCTATCATCACATTAACCCACCAATCAGCCAACCTATCATCACACTAACCCACCATCCAGCCAACCTATCATCACACTAACCCACCAATCAGCCAACCTATCATCACACTAACCCACCAATCAGCCAACCTATCATCACACTAACCCACCATCCAGCCAACCTATCATCACACTAACCCACCAATCAGCCAACCTATCATCACACTAACCCACCATCCAGCCAACCTATCATCACACTAACCCACCATCCAGCCAACCTATCATCACACTAACCCACCATCCAGCCAACCTATCATCACACTAACCCACCATCCAGCCAACCTATCATCACACTAACCCACCATCCAGCCAACCTATCATCACACTAACCCACCATCCAGCCAACCTATCATCACACTAACCCACCAATCAGCCAACCAACCAACTAATCAGCCAATCAACCAACTAATCAGCCAAGCAACCTGCTATGTTTCAAGATATCACAGCAACCATAATACAGTGTTCAACCTCAGTAAAGCTCCACCAAACAATTATATGTGTATCTGAAGTTACAGACAGTCAAGTCAGTTGCATATCCTTTAGAGGATGTTGACAACCAACCCCAGTATTCCTTGGCCGCTTGTGGTTTCAGTGGGCAATGTAGTTTGCCACTGCTTTCTGAAGTTACCACTGTAGAAATTAGTGCAAGCCGAAGTTAAAGCAATATCAAAACTAGAAGTCACTTAAGTAGATGTCTATCTGACATGCAACACACTGTTTACAGGAGTCAAGTAAGTAGATGTCTATCTGACATGCAACACACTATTTACAGGAGTCAGGTAAGTATACGTCTATCTGACATTCAACATACTGTTTACAGGAATCAGTTAAGTAGATGTCTATCTGACATTCAACACACTGTTTACAGGAGTCAGGTAAGTAGATGTCTATCTGACATTCAACATACTGTTTACAGGAATCAGTTAAGTAGATGTCTATCTGACATTCAACACACTGTTTACAGGAGTTAGGTAAGTAGATGTCTATCTGACATTCAACATACTGTTTACAGGAATCAGTTAAGTAGATGTCTATCTGACATTCAACACACTGTTTACAGGAGTCAGTTAAGTAGATGTCTATCTGACATGCAACATACTGTTTACAGGAGTCAAGTAAGTAGATGTCTATCTGACATTCAACATACTGTTTACAGGAGTCAAGTAAGTAGATGTCTATCTGACATTCAACATACTGTTTACAGGAATCAGTTAAGTAGATGTCTATCTGACATTCAACATACTGTTTACAGGAGTCAGTTAAGTAGATGTCTATCTGACATGCAACATACTGTTTACAGGAGTCAAGTAAGTAGATGTCTATCTGACATTCAACATACTGTTTACATGAGTCAAGTAAGTAGATGTCTATCTGACATGCAACACACTGTTTACAGGAGTCAGTTAAGTAGATGTCTATCTGACATTCAACACACTGTTTACAGGAGTCAGGTAAGTAGATGTCTATTTGACATTCAACACACTGTTTACAGGAATCAGTTAAGTAGATGTCTATCTGACATTCAACACACTGTTTACAGGAGTCAGTTAAGTAGATGTCTATCTGACATGCAACATACTGTTTACAGGAGTCAAGTAAGTAGATGTCTATCTGACATGCAACATACTGTTTACAGGAGTCAAGTAAGTAGATGTCTATCTGACATGCAACACACTGTTTACAGGAGTCAGTTAAGTAGATGTCTATCTGACATTCAACACACTGTTTACAGGAGTCAGGTAAGTAGATGTCTATCTGACATGCAACACGCTGTTTACAGGAATCAGTTAAGTAGATGTCTATCTGACATTCAACACACTGTTTACAGGAGTCAGGTAAGTAGATGTCTATCTGACATGCAACACACTGTTTACAGGAGTCAGTTAAGTAGAAGTCTATCTGACATGCAACATACTGTTTACAGGAGTCAAGTAAGTAGATGTCTATCTGACATTCAACATACTGTTTACAGGAGTCAAGTAAGTAGATGTCTATCTGACATTCAACATACTGTTTACAGGAGTCAAGTAAGTAGATGTCTATCTGACATTCAACATACTGTTTACAGGAATCAGTTAAGTAGATGTCTATCTGACATTCAACACACTGTTTACAGGAGTCAGTTAAGTAAATGTCTATCTGACATGCAACATACTGTTTACAGGAGTCAAGTAAGTAGATGTCTATCTGACATTCAACATACTGTTTACAGGAGTCAAGTAAGTAGATGTCTATCTGACATGCAACACACTGTTTACAGGAGTCAGTTAAGTAGATGTCTATCTGACATTCAACACACTGTTTACAGGAGTCAGGTAAGTAGATGTCTATCTGACATTCAACACACTGTTTACAGGAATCAGTTAAGTAGATGTCTATCTGACATTCAACACACTGTTTACAGGAGTCAGTTAAGTAGATGTCTATCTGACATGCAACATACTGTTTACAGGAGTCAAGTAAGTAGATGTCTATCTGACATGCAACATACTGTTTACAGGAGTCAAGTAAGTAGATGTCTATCTGACATGCAACACACTGTTTACAGGAGTCAGTTAAGTAGATGTCTATCTGACATTCAACACACTGTTTACAGGAGTCAGGTAAGTAGATGTCTATCTGACATGCAACACGCTGTTTACAGGAGTCAGGTAAGTAGATGTCTATCTGACATTCAACACACTGTTTACAGGAGTCAGGTAAGTAGATGTCTATCTGACATGCAACACACTGTTTACAGGAGTCAGTTAAGTAGATGTCTATCTGACATGCAACATACTGTTTACAGGAATCAGTTAAGTAGATGTCTATCTGATATGTAACACATGTTTACCTGGCAACTGTGGGCAGATAGAGGTCAAGAGGAATTCCTTGATGTCCTTGGGCATGACACCGCGAACATCTACTAAGACGCGGGTACACTCGGATGAGATCTGATACACCAGCACTGGACTAGGGTGGGCCAGCACCAACTCTGCATGGTTGCTGACCTTCTGCGGGCAGTGATGCATTAACAGACCCACAAAGTGAGAGGTCACTTTCACCTGCTCCTTCACAAGTTCCTTCCTGAACTTGGAAAAACAGCCGTCGACGACAAAGGTCAGCGGAGCATAGATTTGCTGTCGAATGAGATAGATATGGATTCAGTTTACAATGTTCAAGATCTTTTTAGTGAAAAGTGAGAAAATTAAATGACAGCTAATAAATTTCTACCTTCGAGAGGATTCTGACATACACACTCACTAAAAAGAAATATTTGTCATTTATCACTTATTCAACTGGAAGCAATACATTTGACAAATGGTGTTACTGAAGACACCACTGAGTTCACACCTCAGACAAGAGACTTCTTTAGCGTTTGCTTTTAAAATGACAGTTGGCACATTGAGTTATGGTTAAGAGCTGTTATATCGGCACCTCTCAGTCCAACACATTCCATTTCAGCAGACTCTTAACAGATGTGCCTGTCTCACTCAGGGCTGTGGGAATCTTCTTGTATCCTTCCATAATGGGATCTTTAACCCACAAAGGGTTGACCAGAGACAGGATGTCTGTTGTCCTGCTTCAAAGTACACTGTTCTTTCAATGAACTATTTGCACCATTTGACAAGAGCACACAGCCTCACAGTGTTGCTACAGATGTCCATCTTTTTATTTATCAAATGTTTTCTCATCCTGACTTCTGTCCAGCTCTGTGCCAACAAATGGCTGTGAATTTATTTCTGGTGTTTTTCCACAGGCTAGTAATAGTTCACCAGCAAATGGTTTCCCTATTGTTCTGTACACAGGATGAATGGTTTGGTCATTTAGATGTGATGAGACAGGATCACTAACCCAATCCCCAATTCTGGTGATCATGTGATATGGGAAAACACAACCCTCTTGGCTTGTTTGCAGGGTAGATGAGTTGATCACTAAAAAAACAGGATGGGACCAGCCAGCCAATGATCCTCGCATGTTTATGATACACCAGCCAGCCAATGATCCTCACATGTTTATGATACACCAGCTAGCCAATGATCCTCGCATGTTTATGATACACCAGTCCCTGTTTTACTGCCTGATGTTCTTGTGTGTTACCTTACACATCTGGTTCAAATTTGTTACTTCTTCTTCTTCACTTTCACCAGCTGTAAACTCTGGCAGAATGTGCCGGTTGTTCATCCACCCATGGACTTTAGACTAGTTCCAGAACTTGAGTGTAGCGTGCACATCCATTTTACAGATCAAGCTTATTTGTGTGCAGACTGTTGGTTCCTTGCCTCTCAGGCAGATGCACACTGACTTCAAAGGAAACCCCCAATTAGTTGATTCTTATGACATGTTTGTTGGAGAGGCTGTGGATCTATTTTTATTTTCTCCACAATGGGGTCCCGGAACCCACACGGGTTTCAGAAAGTTTGAATGTGATAGGCTGGGTAGCGATTTTGTCCATACTCAACAGTTGTGAGATCAGCCTGGCTGATGACAACAATATTTCTAGGGCATCCAGCTACTTGTGTGTCCAAGTACACTAGTTATTCCAGCTGTTTGTGTGTCCAAGTACACTAGTTATTTCAGCTACTTGTGTGTCCAAGTACACTAGTTATTCCAGCTGTTTGTGTGTCCAAGTACACTAGTTATTTCAGCTACTTGTGTGTCCAAGTACACTAGTTATTCTTGTGTGTCCAAGTACTGTTTTACAGTGTGTCCAAGTACACTATTTCAGCTGTTTGTTGTCAAGTACACTACTTTTGTGTGTCCAAGTACACTAGTTATTACAGCTACTTGTGTGTCCAAGTACACTAGTTATTTCAGATGTTTGTGTGTCCAAGTACACTAGTTATTTCAGATGCTTGTGTGTCCAAGTACACTGCTGTGATTATTTGCTGCAGTTGCTTCCAGACAGTTTGCACCCCACGTACTCTGCTCTCCAACCTACCCTCTCACTCCATCTTAATGGCACTTCTTAACTTCTCACCTTGGCTCAAACAGTGTGTACCCCACGTACTCTGCTCTCCAACCTACCCTCTCACTCCATCTTAATGGCACTTCCAAACTCCTCACTCTTGTCTCAGACAGTTTGTACCCCACGTACTCTGCTCTCCAACCTACCCTCTCACTCCATCTTAATGGCACTTCCAAACTCCTCACTCTTGTCTCAGACAGTTTGTACCCCACGTACTCTGCTCTCCAACCTACCCTCTCACTCCATCTTAATGGCACTTCCAAACTCCTCACCCTTGTCTCAGAGAGAAAGAACATAGAAATATGGAAATCACATGTGAAATCATGAGCTTCAAAGCTACAACCAACAGTTGTGTATGAAACAAAAATAAGCAAAGATTTGGGGAGGTAACACCTACCAGGCTTTGATCACTGTCCTTGGGCTTGTACTGTACTCCAACTACTGCGCCACTCTCCTCCAGAAGCTTGCTGGCAGTGCCTTCAATGTAAGTGACGCTGACAGCACATGCAGCAGAAGACAACAACAAGTTTTATATTTTCTTTTCAGTATAATTGATACAACGACAAACAAACAAATAGGCAACAAAAGTCACAAACACAACATACAGATCTATAGTACAATTGGTCCTTTCAAACACTGATCTCTCACATATTAATTGTATTGTATCTTTAAAGCATGTTATGTTCATATAACAAATGCAGAAGATGAATAGCAAATAAAAAAAACCCAAAAGCTGGGTGAAAACAAGCAGGGTATACTGGCATACCTTACAGTCAGTGTTGGCAAGCTGCCAAAGAACAAAGATCTGGATATCATACAAATGAACACATGAATAATTTTATAGTAAACAAACTTCTAGTATTGTTGAGGCTCCTTACAATCAATACTATCTACCTCACGTTTTCAATCATTTGCATAAATTACAATAATTATTTTGTATGTTATTTCTTCAAGCCTGATCAATTTCTTGAAAAACTACAACACAGCCCACGGTAGTTATCTACAGTACCAGTCGTGCAACAGCAAGGGCATATTCAATTTGTGGCCTGAAGGCACAGTCCAGCCTGCAAAGGCCTAAACAGAGGGCCCCGGATCACTGCTAGTTGTATTGTATTACTGATCTTTCTATTTTGGGGCTTGGAGCCGTGACGATTCCATTTGTTTGAAAACATGTTGGCAGGTGGAATAGCCCTACTTGACAGCATAGATCATTAGTGGTCTAGGTCCCACACTTACAAGTAGCAGCATAGATCATCAGTAGTCTGGGTCCAACACTTACAAGTAGCTGCATTTTAACACAAAACACTAGTTCTGGGGATGAAAGCTCCATGACATGGTACCAGGCAATAATGTGTGTAGGCCAAACAGTGGGTTCACAGCTCTATGACACGGTGCCAGATAAAAATGTATGTAGGCCAAACAATGGGATCACAAATTTGCTTTATAAAACTTTCTGAGTGTGCATGATTGTGAATATATAATGTGTGTATGTATTATTCCATTACATATATTTTTATACAGATATAACTTGCATTATTGAGAACATGCAACTGTGGTCTGAGAGACAGTGCGGGCAAGGACTGAATGTAAGATGGGCCTGAGTGCCCAATTTGTAACCCTTTGAAGATAAAGTTAATTCGTTTGTTCACATGTGAACAAAAATGGACGAGGACGAGTGTATCAACTCTCCATAAGACGACACAATCAACAAGAAACAAGGTGACTAACTGTGGTTCTCTTCTAGCCTGTTCTCTCAGTGCCATGATGAATCTGCCATGATGAAACGCCGAACCACTGACCATATTGTTCTCTTCCTCCTGCTTTGGATACGGTACAATCACCTCTGTTTTCTCCTCCATGTTGTGTATCACGTAGCCTTTAATTGTATGTGCATCTAGGTCTCTAATACAGTCTGAAATATCAACACAAACAAAACATCAAAGACTTCAATGTCGTACAAACTGTGCAACAAACAAAACATCAAAAACTTCAATGTCCAACAAACTGTGCAACAAACAAAACATCAAAGACTTCAATGTCCAACAAACTGTGCAACTAACAAAACATCAAAGACTTCAATGTCCAATAAACTGTGCAACAAACAAAACATCAAAGACTTCAATGTCCAATAAACTGTACAACTAACAAAACATCAAAGACTTCAATGTCCAACAAACTGTACAACTAACAAAACATCAAAGACTTCAATGTCCAACAAACTGAAACAAACAAAACATCAAAGACTTCCATGTCCAACAAGCTGAAACAAACAAAACATCAAAGACTTCCATGTCCAACAAACTGTGCAACTAACAAAACATCAAAGACTTCAATGTCCAACAAACTGTGCAACTAACAAAACATCAAAGACTTCAATGTCCAACAAACTGTGCAACTAACAAAACATCAAAGACTTCAATGTCCAACAAACTGTGCAACTAACAAAACAATGAGGCATTTCAGTTTAGTATATAGTTAGAAACAAAACAAATGTATTGACATAAAAACTCACATCAAAGCAGGAAATACAAGTTACAATATGTGACTGCATTTCCTCTATAAAAGCTTCACTGATGAAGAACAACCTACAAAGTGGCTAGGGTTTTGCGCATGTCGAGCTTCACCACATCTCACTGGTCATTTATGGCATATCTAAGCATGACTCTTGAAATGGTTTACAAGTTCGCTACCATGTGCACAATGGCAGATCATCTATTGTACAAACTCCAAAGCCTGATATACTTTCAGATCATCTATTGTACAAACTTTAAAGCCTGATATACTTTCAGATCATCTATTGTACAAACTCCAAGGCCTGATATACTTTCAGATCATCTATTGTACAAACTCCAAAGCCTGATATACTTTCAGATCATCTATTGTACAAACTTCAAAGCCTGATATACTTTCAGATCATCTATTGTACAAACTCCAAAGCCTGATATACTTCCAGATCATCTATTGCACAAACTCCAAAGCCTGATATACTTCCAGATCATCTATTGCACAAACTCCAAAGCCTGATATACTCTCAGATCATCTATTGTACAAACTTCAAAGTCTGATATACTTCCGGATCATCTATTGTACAAACTCCAAAGTCTGATATACTCTCAGATCATCTACTGGACCCCATGTGGGTCACACTTGCCTGAGAGGCAAGGAACATACAGTCAGCATACAAATTAGCCAGATCTGTAGAATGGATGTTCTAGAACAAGCTCACAGACGAGAAGTAGACAAACAAACAACCAGACTGTTCCTCCAGAGTTCACACTCGGTGAACCCAAGGGAGAAGATTATCTACTGTGTGTGAAAACTCCAAAACATGGTATATTTTTAGATAACCTAGTGTGTGTACAAACTCCAAGCCTGGTATACTTTTAAATCATCTACCGTATGTACACACTCTAAACCTGGTACACTTTTAGAACATCTACCAAACGTACACTCCAAAGCCTGTTATACCAGTCTGTGCATTTTTTACATTACCTGTTGCAGTGGAATAATAATGAGAGTGGGGGAGATAACAGACAGACCAGGAATGTGAATTACCTGTTGCAGTGGAATAATAATGAGAGTGGGGGAGATAACAGACAGACCAGGAATGTGAATTACCTGTTGCAGTGGAATAATAATGAGAGTGGGGGAGATAACAGACAGACCAGGAATGTGAATTACCTGTTGCAGTGGAATAATAATGAGAGTGGGGGAGATAACAGACAGACCAGGAATGTGAATTACTTGTTGCAGTGGAATAATAATGAGAGTGGGGAAGATATCAGACAGACCAGGAATGTGAACTGAGAGTTTATAACATACAACCTGCCATATGCAGATAACATATACTGATAGCTGAAAACACACCAGAAATATAACACCTGCTGGATATCATAATAATATAAAGTGGGGGGAAAAAAAGACGTTCGCTGAATATCTAAGGACTCTGCTTGAATATCAAGAGAACAGAGAAAACAAAGGTTATACAGAAGAAAAATATAACATGAAATGTGATATTACAATAAAGGGGAAAGGCTTAGCCATTAATTCAAATACACGGAAGCAAACATAACATTAGATAGAAGGTGCAGACATAGAAGGTGCATGTGAAAGTTTGAAAACAGCATCAATCAAGCAAAAGCTGAAAGTTAAAACTGGAAAATGAGCATTGATGTAACTGTGAAAGAATGTCAGGCAAAGCTGCAAAAATGTGATGTCAGACCTGTTCTGTGTAGGACAGTACATCTTGAAATCTTCTTCTTGGAGTCCACCAGCTGTAAACTCTCCGGCGGCTGAAAGTTCTGGGTTTTATTCCAGATCTGGACTTTGGTCTTGTTCCAGAACTGGAGTTGTGCAAGCAAAACTGTTTTACAGGCTTATGTATATGCAGACTGTTGGTTTCTCACCTCATAGGCAGATGCACTCTAACCTCGAAGAAAATTCCCCTAGTTGGTCAAATTGTACGACATGATTGTTAGGGAGGCAGTGGGTCCAATCTTTAGTTGACCCCTAGAACCCACACGGTGATCATGGAATCACAATGAACTGGGATGAGTAAGGAAGGGAACACACGTGATTGTCGACACTAATGTTGCAAATACTTCTGACAGCAAAGATATCTAACAAGTGCCTAGGACAAGCCAATCAAAGTAGAACATCATATGTAACCATAAGAAAGTTCTTTGGTCAAATGTCGAGAAGGATATTTTCCTGTATTCCATTTTTTAGGAGACCAAGGCAACTGTCTGTCATGTACAGATTATAAAATACAACAAGAATGGATGGCAGACATTGAAAGTACTGATTATTTTTTGCCCTCTCCACAAGAAATACAAGAGATGTCTCAAAGAAAGTACTTCCAGCAGACACATTTCGCAACACAACAAACCCTCACACATAGCTGCAAAGGCTACAGTCTCAGGATGCTTACAGTACAGACCAGAATGAGAACATTCACAGCATCAAGACAAACAAAATCCTACAGAAACTAGTTTCAAAGCATTTAACAGGATGCAGGAAGATGGTAGTGGCTATCTCAACAGGGAAAACAAATTCTACAGAAATCTAAAACTCAGAAGTTTTTTTTACACAGACTGTCTGCAGAATAGAATAACTACACATTAGGCCAGACTCCAGCAGGACAATGGCAGCACAAACTGGTCCTTCTGAAAGCCTACGACTGTACCTGTATCAGGTGTCCACCATCTATATGTGAAATATCTTGCTGCTGCCTCTGACAGAATGCATGCTACAGCATATTTCAGAGATGCACTTACTATGTATTCAGTCACACTTTTCATACATGTCCTAAGATCAGCCAGAAAAAATGCAAGTCAAGAGCCACATCTTACCACTCAATCCTAGTTTGGCAAGGGCTCGAACTCCTCCTGGCTGCAGCAGCTCGCCAACAATTCTATCCGGCTCTTTCATGTCTCTCTCAATAACGGTGACTCTCCTGCCATCTCGAGCCAGGACTGTGGCCACAGCTGAGCCAGCCACCCCGGAACCGATCACGATGACATCAGGTCCATCTCTTCCAAACACCTTGCTGTGTCTGGGAGCTAGGGTTTGCTGCAGACAAGAGTCAGGTCATCAAACTGCGCAGTCTAAACAAACAATGCTTATCAACACATGCATGGTTAAGAGGAAGTGCTCCTTCTAATGTCTGCATTACAAAATATTATACGTGCTGGCATTTATCAAGCACCATGGTGAAGTGCCATGGAGATATGATGCATCTGCAAAAAAAACCTAGCATTAAGTTATTCATTACTCTCATTATTCAAGGGCTCTTCAAAAAAAAAATGTAAATTATTAGGGGGGAAAAGGGGGAGAGAACATTAGCTCAGATAAACCAAAGAGCAAAAAGAGCAAAACTGTAATGGTTGGGTTAGTCATCAACACGTGTCCAGTACAAGTCCTTAAGCGCCTATCAAATGCTAGATTTCTGTAGAAACAAAAATGTCCCCTGGTCACGAGTGTAACCAGTCACGCATCACATACTGTACCAGTTCATTAGACTGACAAGACTTGGACACCACTTGAGGCTAGCTCTGGCCAGTACAGGGGATGTGTACACACTGACAGAACAGGTCTTCGGTGGTTTCAACCATGGCACGGCTAGTATGGGGTCAAGCACTGTCTTGCTGCAAAAGGACACATTTACTCAGAAGTCCATACCAGTTGGATCTGATTGGGATTATGGCCATGAAATAACTTTTCTGGAGACCACTTGCTATATTCCATTAAAATTATCTGACCTACTATCAATAGTTCCATTAAAATTATCTTTCCTAGCAATATTTCTATTAAAATTATCTACCTTCTAGCAATAGTTCAATTAAAATGATTTAATCTACTAGCAATCATCATAATCATCAGGTGCCTTGCCGACTGGGGTGGGCGATCATGCCTCTCCATAATCTGCGATCTCCTGCAGCATGTATCAGTTCGTGTGCCGACACATCACCATGCCATGCAACAAAACTGTCAAGCATCTTCTCTCGTTGTCTTTCTCTATCCCTCCTTCCACAGATCTTTACAGTGGTCACAACATGTTCTATTTTTCCTCTTCTCATAACATGGCCAAAAAATTATGACTATCTCCTTCGAATGTCTGTGATAAGTTGTCTTTGGGCTACTATTGCTAGTAGGCCAAATCATTTTAATGGAACTATTGCTAGTAGGCCAAATCATTTTAATGGAAATATTGCTAGTAGGTCAAAAATTGTTATTGGAACTATTGCTAGTATTGCAATATTTCAATAACTATTGCAATATATCCTTGTCATTGAGAGTTAGAAAAAGAATTCTTGCTTGCTACATACATCCAGTTTTAACCTATGGATGTGAATCCTGGACAATCGGTAGGCAGGCCAAACAATTTTTAGAGGCCTCAGAGATGTGGTTTTACAGAAGAATGCTTAGAATACCTTGGACAGCCAAAAAGAGCAACCAAGAGGTTTTAAAAGAGGCGGGAGAGACGAAGACAACTTATCACTGACATCAGAAGGAGGACAGTCATCATTTTTCGGCCATGTTATGAGAAGAGGGAAAATAGGACATGTTGTGACCACTGGAAAGATCTGTGGAAGGAGGGATAGAGGAAGACAACGAGAGAAGATGCTTGACAGTCTTGTTGCATGGCATGGAGGTGTGTCGGCACACGAACTGATACATGCTGCAGGAGATCGCGGATTATGGAGAGGCATGATCGCCCACGCCAGTCGGCAAGGCACCTGATGATGATGATGTTAAGAATCTCTTGGACTGTCATAGTAACTAACGAGCATTACTTGAAGGAAGCTAATGAAAGCAGATCAATATATATAGCTATAAGGAAAAGACAAGCACTGTTCTTTGGTCATGTGATGGGGGGGGGGCTTTGGAGAATGTTGAAACCACTGGGAAGATCAACGGTAGAAGAGGGAGAGACAGACCAAGAGAGATGATGACAGATGGACTGCGACGGTGGTATATCATCAGTGGAACTGATTCTAAGAACAAGGGACAGAGATCTGGCAGGGCATGGGATGATAATGAGGCTGATGTGTGTGTGGGTAAGGTGTGTGGGTGAGGTATGTGTGTGTGAAGTATGAGTGTGTGTGAGGTATGAGTGTCTGATATATTAGTGTGTGAGGTATGAGTGTCTGATATATTAGTGTCAGGTATGAATGTGTGTGAGATGTGAGTGTGTGTAAGCTATGAGTGTGCATGATGGGTGTGTGATGTATGAGTGTGTGTGTGAGGTATATGTATGTGATGTAGGAGTGTATGTGAGGTATGAGTGTGTGAGGTATGAGTGTGTGTGTGAGGTAAGAGTATGTAGGGTATGTGTGTGTGTGTGTGGGGGGGGGGGGTTGAGTGTGTGTGTGATTTATAAGTATGTGTGTGAGGACAGTGTATGATGTGTGGGTGAGGTATCAGTGTGAGGAAATGTCTTGGCCACACCCATAAATAGTATAGGATGGAAATACACAAGGAAGGGAACCATTCACCTCAGCTTGTACATGAGAAAAAGGGGAGGGGGCCAAGAGACTGTGAGAAACATATACTTCACCATTAAACATCAGTAAACTAGCAGCTACTGAACTACCTTAACAAATGACGATACACCACTAAGCACTAGAATGAGCACACATTTAGCCTCCTGATATGTGCACACAAACACTTCAATGAAGTAACTGCATGACAGGAAGAATACTGAAATACTCATAAAATCTGTTACAATTACTACACAAAGCTCTGGAATTATCAATTCCCACAAACAACAGATCAGCATAAAAATATATTACTGAAACAGAAAGTATTACACATCCCGGTTATAAATATAATAACCTAAATGGGTTGAACAAGATATTGTCGATTATTAAATTTAAATTACTACCGGTTACTACGTACTAAGAGATTGAATTCTCAAGTTTAAAAGTTGCAACAATGAATACAAGTCGTTTTTTTTTTTTTTTTTTTTTTATAAACAGAAAAATTACATAATTTAATACTGCAAGCAATCGACACCAGTGAGACTTACTTTCCTTCTGTAGAAGAGAACAAATGAAATCGTAAAGACAACGGTGACGACGACGCTGAGCAACCCACAACTGCTAACACTAACACAAGGCACCAGACTCGGCGTCAGGTGTTCCATCGCCCATTCGCTTCCAACTTTTATCATATCGACAATCATTGTGTAGACGACTAAAGTGCGACCTCAGGGGTCAGATGTAGAGCTCACAACCCGAACAGACGTGTGGTGAGTGAGAGAGTTCAATGAATGTTGATGAGGTAATACATGAAGAAGCCGACGTGATCGACGGCAGCCATTCTGTCGTCTGCTGATTTCCCACCAGCCAATGGGCGCACACCTTTCTGTTATACAAGATGGCGCCAACACACCCATCTTATACATCTCTCTCTCTCTCTCTCTCTCTCTCTCTCTCTCTCTCTCTCTCTCTCTCTCTCTCTCTCTGTGTGTGTGTGTGTGTGTGTGTGTGAGTTGGTAAGATGCAGTGCTCGATTTAGCCAAACTTAGGGCCTCACAATCAGTAGGGACCTCAGAGAATTAATATTTTTTTTTAAAAAAAAAAAAAACTGTTCTCTGCAATAACCCTTTCAGAGGATTACCGTAATAGCTTTCTGTGATTTTTACAGACACAACTTTATTATTTCTTGTAATACAAATTAAACAATATATTTCTACTCTTCGTATATTCAACAGGCGTTTATATTGTAAAGTTTTCAGAGATAAGCTGACGTAATTGAAAACGGTAAAGCCTCATGGCTTAAATATATTTTAGAGCCTCCTCAAATCTAAAGCGAAATCTGGTTGGATGTGTGTGTGTGCGCGCGCGCGCGCGTGTGTGTGTGTTTGTGTGTACATTATGCCCTAGTTATATTCAAGAATTAATCTCCCCACGTAGGTGTCGGGTCCCGTTTGCCGGGAATAGAATAGCACTCCACCCTCATATTTTGGTTGTGACGGCGCCGCTATTAAATGACAATACAACAGTTGGTAGACACTAGGGATTCGAACTTGATGGTGTGGAGGGTAGCGCAACGATTGATACCTCTTCTTCACAGCCGTCAATGGTTGTAAACGGTGTCTGCAATTCTGGTTGTTCGTCCACTTCTGGACTTCAATTTTTTTCCAGAACTCGAGTTGTGCGTGCACTTCTGTTTTACAAATCTGGCTTATTTGTGTGCAAACGGTTGGTTCGTTGCCTCTCAGGCAGAGGTACTCTGACGGACGTCCCAAATTCGTCGACTCTTAATGTACTTCTACGACATGCTTATTGGGAAGGCAGTAGGTCTTTTTTTTTTTTCCTCCACATAGGACCAATTAGGATTGACATACTTGGCGGTATTCCAGTGGTCTCACGCGGCCTCTACTTGTCATTGGTATCCATAAGTTCCACTAGTGCCGGTCGACACCAGTGCAACTGTTTATATTCTGCAGATACCTGGCCTGCAGCGGGCATTGGCGATCACGACTTTGTATTTCTCTCTGCCGTATGCTTTTTTTTTTTTTTTTTAAGTTCATGGCGGTTTCTCTTTCAAATTTGTGGTGTGATTGTTTTATTGTCTCATTTATTCCTTTCTTCGTTAGTCTCGTTTATTAATTTCACTTCTTCTGTGGATATGCCTAATACATGTTCAGTGTCTTTTATGTTTTAATGAAGGATCGTTAACACAAACAGTTATTAATGCCCTATCAATACTTTCGTGCAGGCAGGCGCTTCCCCACGAGGAAAACCTGGGGGGGGGGGTTATGGGGAAGGAGTCCTCTAGCCCCCCCCCCCCCCTCCTCCTCCTGCCTAGTAAATCGTCTAGGCAAAATATGGCGGGAGTGGGTGGGGGGGGGCGTGAGTTTTCTAGCTAGGAAAACAGTGTGGGGACTCAACCGCTCGCCCCCCCCCCCCTCCTCCCCCTTTTTCCTCAACCAAGGCGGAAAATGGCTCAGCACCAGTTGAAATAATATAAATTATATCAACAAATGCTTGATGTCGTTACAGGTTCCTCATTGTCCCTGACAAACTTATTGGGAGTGCAAGGCGGACTGAGGCCCTGGCTTCTTTTTCTACGTTTATCCGAAGATGTCAATGCGTTGTTTTAGTTTACAGCATGGCTGTGATATGTGTTCCTGTCTGTCACCACATACGATTTCTGCAGGCAATTGTTAGCTATGGCAGCCTTCCCGGTTAAACCATTCCATTCTGCGCTCACGCAATTTGACAAAACAGTTGTAAAAATGTTATAACAGGAGAATTCTGCACAACACCGGGCGCACAAGATGTAAACCCGGGGCATACAAGATGTAAACTTGGGGCACAGACGATGTAAACTCGGGGCATAGACGATGTAATTTTGGGGCATAGACGATGTAATTTTGGGGCATAGACGATGTAATTTTGGGGCATAGACGATGTAATTTTGGGGCATAGACGCTGTAATTTTGGGGCATACAAGATGTAAACTTGGGGCATACAAGATGTAAACTTGGGGCATAGACGATGTAATTTTGGGGCATAGACGATGTAATTTTGGGGCATAGACGATGTAATTTTGGGGCACAGACGATGTAATTTTGGGGCATAGACGATGTAAACTTGGGGCATACAAGATGTAAACTTGGGGCATACAAGATATAAACTTGGGGCATACACGATATAAACTTGGGGCATACAAGATATAAACCTGGGGCATACAAGATATAAACTTGGGGCATACAAGATATAAACTTGGGGCATACACGATGTAAACTTGGGGCATACACGATGTAAACTTTGGGCATACAAGATGTGAACTCGGGGCACGCATGATGTAGAGCAGGGCTAACCAGAGACCCGAGCTCCAGCATAGAACCATCAACAAAAAATAGAATACAACTAGCAATGATCCGCGAGCCACTAGATAGGCTTCCACAGGCCAGATTTGGTCCGGGGGCCGCCAGTTGAATAGTCCTGAGGTAAAGTGTTTGACTCACATGGTGGCCAATGTTAAGGCAGAAACGTTTATTCCTATAAACATTTCATGGCAGTTGCAGTGAAATCAAGAGACAACAGACTGAGGTACGTGGGTATCACCTTGGACAGAAGTTTGTCTTTCACGGATCGCATAGAGGGGGTAATGATAAATGCTCAAAAGGGTCTTAATGCACTAAAGATTATAGCAGCGATGGACATGAAGCAGAGAATGCTGTTCATACTTTACCAGCACTTAATCATCTCAGTGATTGATTATGGATTAAGGTTACTCACTGTCTCGAAGAGTCGGCTAAAGAAACTGGAGCGCAAACATAATGAAGCTATGCGGGTGATCCTGGGTTGTACAAGAGACACTTCGATTGTGTGCATGCGATACATCATTGCATTGCCGACTATTGCAGATAGGCTAAATGTGCTGCAGACAAATAAAACCCTCAGTGTGAAACTTTGGCTGCAGGCAAGGGTCAGAGGCTGAAAAGGGGAAAATCGTGGATGGCTCAAGCAGAAGACATAATAAGACAAGTACACTGGGCGAGGAGAAGAGTGGATCGGAGTTGCGTATTCTTCACAGCCCCTGGTTTCTCTAGGCAAATTTACGTCCAGTAGTTTGCCATTGCTTCTGGACGGTCGGTTCCCTGATACCAATGTCAAAACCAACGCAAGGAGCATGGCCCGCAGCTGGGATCGAACCCTGCACCCCGGCATTGTGGGTCAGAGTACCAGAGAAAAAGTCTGACCTATGTAGGGTTATGATCACATTGGACCGGGAGTGCAGAGAGTGGTCCAGCGGGTGCTGCGGAGGTTGAAGTCCCACAGTTGATTCACGACAATTCACGCCCAAGTGATCTGATTATCTGTACAGATGGTTCGGTGCTGAGAGGAAAGAGAAGTGCATGGGGGTTCATATGGAAAGCCAATTGAAAATCTTTAGTGCAAGACAGCCTAGGCATACGACATCACAACATCTAGCATGAGAATGTGGGTGAAGACGGTAACTGCAGTTCTCCGGTGGCTAGAGAACAAGATGCATACATGTGTCGCAATTGTAACAGACTCTGAAAGCATGCTGAAAAAGGTGAAGACAGGTATGCTTCAAGTAGAGTGGCAAGCTTCACTGGGAAAGTCACGGGTAGTGAGCATACTTTGGATCTTTTCTCCAGGCGATGCCGGCGTAGTAGATTGACTGGATCTGCTCCATTGGGTGGTGATGTGATACATGACAAGGCAGATGTGATAAATGCTTTTAGGAACCAGCATCGGAATCAGTAGAGAAACAAGATTATTATGGCCTGGAGAGAACGAGGCACCTGGGTGTAACCAGAGGGTCTGGTCGGCTCACTACACTCAGAGGAAAGGCAATACGGACAAATAACCAGTACCATCAGTACTGGAACTCTGCGCTGGCTGCTGAAGATGAGGACGGAGCACGCATGGGAATGCCTTGAATGCTGTGATGTCAATTCTTGACTCAACTCAACACACATTCCTGGTAGCTGGGCTAGGTAGATTGAAAGACCAGGTTGCACTTGATGGATGAGGTTATCAGCTTATATTTAAGCTTGGCTTGACCTCGGAGACAAGATCCATACTGAAAAAGTCCGGCTCGGGACAGGGCTGGAACCTACGACTTTTGGATCCAGAGACGTGCTTCTAGCCGCTACACCACGGAGGCTCCCCATGGATTTAGTCGTGTCATTGTTGAACTCATCGTGTGAGAGAGGAGATAATCTCTGATTTCCTGTGGTGATTATTTTTGTAGAGTTACTTCCCTTGGCAATCAGTGTACAAAAAACACTGAAGAATTTGGGTTTGCTCCGCATGTTTCAATTCGTGTGCTGACACACCTCGATGCCATGCAACAAGACTGTCAAGAAACTTCTCTTGTCTTCCTCTGTACCTCTCTGTTACATGTTGAAGGAAATCGCGGATTGTGGAGAGCTTGATCGCCCACCCCAGTCGGCAAGGCACCTGATGATGATCTGGGTTTGGTTTCCCTTGATGAAGAAACCAATGTCTCGGCACTGTTTGATCTATTGTGGAGTTAGAAACGATTGTAGGACAGACCCAGCAAACCATTAGAGAATTTAATTGCTCAAACACATGTGCTCATAATAAGGAGAGTAGAATAGCCAAAGAAACAAGTTCCCATTTAAGATATGAAGAAAAAAATGGTAGGCAGAGTACCAGAAAATAATGATTTCAT